TTATTACAAAAACACAAAATAAGTATAAATAAGTATTTATATTTGTGTACAAGCTGTTTAGTTTGTCAGAAAGCCTGTGTTTTTAGGGTTATTAACAAAGTTTGTGTACTCAGACCAGGAATATTTGGGGTCACAAGTTTTTGCCATGGATATTTTGTGGGTCAGAAGATAAAAAGTTTGGGAACCATTGTCTTACACTATATTTCTTTTACTTGAATTTTATGTGCTTTGGTTGAGATTTTATACTGATGTTAAATGTTTTAAGCTTATTTTGTTAAAGAATTGACTCTAGAGTGCATATTTTGTGTTCTTGAAAAAAACTATTAAAGAAAATGTCTGTGTCACTAATTTTAGGATAACTGATAGACAGACTGTGTTCTGGTAGATAACGGATAAGGGACGAGGAAGACTGAACACTGACAAAACAACAATGATCTGATGCAGACTGATGACAAGACTCGGAATAYAAAGCAAACAAATTAAGAGACAATGGGAAACACCTGGGGAGACACAAGAGGAAACAGGTGAGCGTGGGAGGGGGTGGAGGCAAGACAGCAGGGAAGAGAAACACAGGTCATGACAGTACCCCTCCCTTAACGACGGCTCCCGACTTCGAACAAGGGAGAGGTACACGACTCCGGGAACACGAACACAAGACAGGGGAACTCAAAACAAACATACAAGTCTAGGGGCATGGCCAGGAAACCATCCAATGTGTGACTCCGTAATAACACGAGGCCTGGCAGGAACAGCAGCAGATGTTGAGCCACAGGAGGAGGCGGGAGAAAACGTGGAGCCAAGGGAGGAGGCAGGAGCAGACGTGGAGCCAAGGGAGGAGGMAGGAGCAGACGTGGAGCCAAGGGAGGAGGCAGGAGCAGACGTGGCGCCAAGGTAGGAGGCGGGAGCAGATGTCGAGCCAAAGGAGGAGGCAGGAGCAGATGTCGAGCCACGGGAGGAGGCGGGAGCAGACGTCAAGCCAAGGGAGGAGGCGGGAGCAGACAAAGAGCCAAGGGAGGAGGCGGGAGCAGATGTGGAGCCAAGGGAGGAGGCGGGAGCAGATGTGGAGCCAAGGGAGGAGGCGGGAGCAGAACAAGAGCCAAGGGAGGAGGCAGGAGCAGACATGGAGCCACAGGAGGAGGCGAGAGCAGATGTGGAGCCAAGGGAGGAGGTGGGAGCAGACATGGAGCCAAGGGATGAGGCGGGAGCAGACGAGGAGCCAAGGGAGTAGGCGGGAGCAGACGTGGAGCCAAGGGAGGAGGCGGAAGCAGACTAAGAGACGGCAGAGGTTGACGGAGCCAGAGTGTCAACGATGGTTAACGTAGGCGACAGAGGCGATGAGGAGGCGATGGGTGATGACCCAGGCGAAAAGGAGGCACCGGCAGCTGACCCACGAACCTGAAGGTCCACCGACTCGGGACTCGCCATCTCAGGAGACACTGGGACCACGGACTCTGGAACCACCGGGACCACCGACTGTGGAACCACCAATTGTGGAACCACCGGGACCACCGACTGTGGAAACACCGATTGTGGAAACACTGATTGTGGAAACACCGATTGTGAAACCATCGATTGTGGAGGCATCGATTGTGGAAACACCGGGACCGCCGATTGTGGAACCATCGATTGTGGAGGCATCGATTGTGGAACCACCGGAACCACCGACTCCAGAACTGGGACCGAGACCACAAACTCAGAAAACTCAGGAACAGACTCAGATGGCCCAGTAGACTCAGAAGATCCAGTAGATACAGATGACCCAGTAGACTCAAATGACTCAGATGCCAAAACAACCGGCTCAGGCAGCAAAGGTTCAAGCAGCGCAGCAGCCGGCCCAGGAAACACAAGGGGTGGGAGGGTGGGTGTTCAGACGCTCAGCCAGGACTCACTGAGCGTACTCACTGACCTCCGATGGCGCAGGCAGGAGCAGCAGATCGGGACGCCTCGCCATGACGTCTTTGATCAGCTGACAGTAGAGTCGTTTTGCCGCAGGGGTGGAGGACCACCGGAGGATCATCAGCGCCCCCGCGATCTGAGGGTTTGTCACCTCATCCTACCACGGCGGCAGAGACGGGACCAGTTCCTCAAAGGCAGGTGAGGCAAAACCAGTCGTGTGGAGTTCAGGCAGCGGTGGAGAAAATAAATTATCTGCCATGTGGAGGGGCAGACCAGAAAAACTTGTACCTGCAGGCTGGGCACGTGGTCGGATCATTTTGACAGGATTTGGAGCAGGATAAACCCAGGGTGCAGGCGAGGTTCAAAAGTGACAAAAGGTTTTAATAATAAACTCAAAAAGGCTGACAAAGCAGCTCAAAAAACTCTCAGCACTTACAAAAATACAAGGCAGGGATGAGGAAGACTGAACACTGACAAAACAACAATGATCCGACACAGACTGATGACAAGACTTAGAATACAAAGCAAACAAATTAAGAGACAATGGGAAACACCTGGGGAGACACAGGAGGAAACAGGTGAACGTGGGCGGGGCTGGAGGCGAGACAGCAGGGAAGAGAAACACAGAGGAACAGAGAAACACTAGAAAATGAAGACAAAAACACAGATCATGACACTGTGTTGTGTGTAGCTTGTTGTTAGTGTAGTGCAAACAGCGTGGTAGCACTGAGCAGTGCTTTTGAGCCTGTGGTGTACGTCATCTCGCACTGACATAACGTATATCAATCAAATGTTTTCAAAAGTCATATCACCATCATTGAAACGTTTTCTCTCGTGACATATGTTCAACTGAATTATTGTCCATCACTATTCATCTACTCGCACAAGCACAGCAAAAACTATTGACTGCAGCTTCCTGTAGGGTGCACACGCATTTTTACACCTCTCCACTCTTGGCAATAATAAAGATCCTATTCTTAAAAGTGGCTAACACAGGAAGTGAAGCATCTTTATGCAATTTATTTTTCTAGAACTCMAGAGTTGCAGCTGCGTATTTACCATTATTGTTACCTGGATGGGATGACTTAGAGATGGTTTCATTTTCTTTCGTTGTGTTGCTGTTCAAACTGATGGTTGATTCTGGGTCGGAGCTGTTGTGCGCACTACCGGTGGTGTCCAGGCTTGAATCATTTACATGGTGAAGCTCAGTGGACGGTGGAGCAGGATTAACAACATGGCCTTCATCTGCTGTAAAATGGACAAAACCAAGTTTGTATTTTTAATGTGGTCAGAGTCAATAAAAATAAAAATAAAACATAAAAAACAATGGATGGGACAAGTCACTACCTAGAGTCACAGATAGTAGGGCTGATTATTCAGTGATGGTAAAATACAACATCCAGTGTAGAACTTACATAAAGTTCCATCAACAGAAAAAAACCACTTGTTTTAAAGTGACCAAAGGAGCATAAGTACAACCTTCTTCATGTTTTACTGTAAGCAGACCGTCCTTTCTGTAAGCAATATAGGTTCTTAAAGGGGCAATATCATGTAAAATCAACTTTTTTGAGTTTTATATCATGTTATAATGTTATACTCTCATAAAAAACATGTCAAAGCCTTGCTCTGACTCATTCATCATGTTTGAGAAATCCTGCAGTGTTTTTATGAAGCCATGTTGAGGAGCAAAACGACAGGTGGGGACCAGAAACACCTTTTGGTACCAGAAACACCCCTGGGACGTGTCTTTAAGCCGAACTTCCTCATGGCAGAGCAAACCTGTCCCCCTCCCCACACACCCCGCCCATGACTCCTGCAGGCTCTTGCAAGTAGGGGTCTCTGCGGACGAGTGGGCGTGT